ATACTTGATTTGACTCAATTTTTTTCTCATTTCAAGAATCTTACCAAGTACATTTTTCTTACTCCATTGGCAGAAATTTTTGACTTGAGTCAAATTTTCAGGCTAACAAGACAAATAATCTTACACATTCTGAAAACAAGATTATTATTCTAATACAACTAGTTCTTGTTTTAGTAAATCAGTCTCAAAACAAGATCAAAAAGACTTTTTGGCTGATATAAGATGTTAAAACTTGGTAAGATGGACAGTTTTTGCAGTGTACCTCTTGAAGCTCATCAAGAAAAGGCCAAGAGTGTGTGAAGCAGTAATCAAAGCAAAAGGTGTCTACTTTGAAGAACCTAGAATATAAGACGTATTTTCAGTTGTTTCACACTTTTTTGTTAAGTAATTCCACATGTGTTAATTCATAGTTTTGATGCCTTCAGTGTGAATCTATAATTTCCAGTCATGAAATTAAAGAAAACTCTTTGTGTCCAAACGTTTGGTCTGTACTGTAAATCCAGTGATTATTTCTCCTAAGTTTAACCAAAAATCTGTGCAGTGGTTCATGAGATATTTTGCTAACAGAGAAACAGGGTTGTGTCAAATGAGTAAGGTTAGTGTTTTATGCAAAAATGTGCTAAAAATTTGTCCAGTGGTGCAAAAGATGTTTTGTAACAGACGAGCAAACACAAGAAAAGCATTAGTGTCCTCTTTAGTTTTTGTTTTGTGGTGTGGGATCATTAATGCCATGGATGGAAAAAAACACACTTTATTCCATTTTCTCAAACAATTTCTCTCTCATTTGCTTTAAACATGTATTACTGGTGGTCCTCCATACAGATAGGTGGAATTGAGGAAAGGAGGAATGTAATCCGATTAAGAGCATAACCAGAGGTAAGAATAAATAAAGCACAAACAATTAAGATTCCCCTTAAATATACAAAAGCTTAAGAAGTCTATCAAAAGTTATTTAATACATCTTGATTTTTTACATTTCATTCATTAAAAAAAATCAAATTTCCCAAAATATTTACACACTGTTAAAGCACACCTATACAAGCGAAATATTTAAATCTAGATTCCACAGAAGTTTGAAATGAGCTCACGCGTCAGTTTATTGAACCGCTCACAGAGGAACATTCAGGGGTCAGAGGTCAGGCACAGCCCCTGTGGCAGAGCGGGTGGAAACACTGAACACCACCCCCCACATCAGCCGAGCAGCCAGAAACGGTGCGTGGGTGATTGTCGGAGCATCTCTGGTTTCTATCAAGAAGGCACAGTCAGCACGTTAACTGTCAGTAGGTTTGTGCACGCGTTGTGCTTGAGAGGAGCGTCTGCAGCAGGGGKGTGGGATGCCTCAGTAGGGGGCCGTGTGTGTTAATATCATTAATATTAAATACTATTTAAATTTAAACAGTTCTCTTAAAAAAACAACCTGTGTTTGGACATGCATTTCCTTTGGCCATCAGGTGGTAACCTTTGGACAGAGCAGAGTGTTTTTGGATCCCAGCGTCCAGCTGTTGGTGGCTTGTTGTCTTCTTTACGTTAGGGTTTGATTTTCCACAGCTGGGGGTAAAAATGATTTCCAAATGTTAAACAACTGCTGCAGATACATATATCAGTAATAACTGCATTAATTAACATTGTGACAATGAGGAAAACACACTAATTATGTCTATGAAATAACATTAAATGCAWCATTCTGGATATAAAGAAAATATGGAGCTATATACTAAAACGTTAACTAGCATGTACCTTATGTTTGTCTAATAGGAAACTATTGATCAATAAAACAATACTTCTGTAGAACTCAACTAGAATCAGAAAGATTATAAGTTTCCATAACACAAGATATGTAAAATAAATTTCAGGGCTACTCAATTGGTGGCCCAAAGTTCGGCCCGCCAATTGTTTCATTCATCTCTTAAGCCTAAACCCCTGATTTTCTACTTTAATTAGTTCTTTTATTTAGACATAGACATGTGTGGTATCTACAGAAATGTCAGAATCTTGGCTAGACAGTTAAAACTACAAGCAGTTGAAAATAAGACTATGAAAGTGAAAATAAAATTGCTTTAAAAATTTGGCAAGTCAGAGATGTCAATTATATTTGTATTAAATGGGAGGCATAATGTGTTATTTTTATATTGTTTTATTATCATTACTTTTAGTGTTCAGTATGTTGTATTCATGATTAAATGCAGCAAAAATTAACCATGTCAAAGGTAACAGATCTTTGTAATAGTTGGTTTATTTACATAATGAGTTTAATTGCTGGATGTTCGGCCCCTGTGCTGTTGCAGTTTAGTTGAATATCCCTGTTATATTTCATCAATCCTTCAAGGAATGCTACGTTAAAGCTACCGAGATGAGAAGTTACTTTATTATCAAAACTTTACTCACTCTGATGTTGAAGCCGAGCATTTCACTGATCACTGCAGAAACAGCCGACAGGATAACAACCTTTGTGATGTTGTAGATCAGGGGGTTCACGGTCAGACCCAGCAGTCTGAAGGGGGTATCCAACTCCTGCAGAGGGTAACAGGGAGAAAAGTCAGATCTATAAAACAGTTTTGTTGGCGTTTTTTKATTTTTCTACCTGCATTATTTCCTTTTTTGTGTGACACTGTCTCTGGTACAGACGAAAATAAACTACCTTAAACTGTTAGTTAAAAGCCCAATGTGTGCTCACCTTCATCAGCTTTGTAGCCAGTTTTAATACGTTGTTCACAATATTGAGCTGTTCTTTCTTACAAGGCTTCTTCTCCATCTTCAGATACAAGTTGATCTGTAAACAACAACTTTATAAACTGTAGCCTGCACAGCAAAGGCCTATAGGAACTGCAGGGGACTCTTTTCGAACAGTTTGGTCTCCGTTGATCTTAAACCTCCTGCACCTCCTGCGTTCCGCAGCCAGGGGGCCTCACCTGCTCAGTCAGCAGCACCGAGGAGTTGCTGTACTTGGAGTTGGTCTCCGAGCCCAGAGTGGCGAGTCGCAGCAGGAAGAGGAGCAGGGAAGAGCACCACACCACCAGCTCCCAGTTGATCAGAGACTCCAGAAACGTCTGGTGGTTGTGCAGAAGCTGAGGTGTGACATGTCGAGACAACGAGCTTGTTTGGTATCTGACAGAGCCGAGCTTAGTCAAGCATAAATTTGTTGCATTTTTTTGTGACTTTTTTTTAGCTTCTTTCCAGACCCCCTAGTGAACATGATTAAATCAACATTCTTTATACACATCAACTCTGTTCCTACAAGTCTGACTGACCTGGGAACAGATGATGAAAGAAATGGAAAGTGCTAAGAGGAAGATTGTGGAGACGATGACATCCACGGAACGCTGCGGGCCTCGCCTCTGTAACAAACAAACAACAAAATATTTTCTCACCAAAGCAAGCGYAGGACAATCTTACTAGCAAAGCAACACATGATGGCGTTAAAGCTGAAGGTTACACACCCTGAGGAAAGAGCGTAGTGACAACCACATCTTTATGTTTTTCACTTTCTTCAGTCTGAAGTGAGGGACCTCAGATTTCTTGGCCTTACGAGCTGATGTGAGGTGGCTGAAGTATTTGGCAAATAGGAGTCTCTGTAGGAAAAAAAGGGACTTGCAGAGTTAGAAATCACAATTTTAGTAATGATAAATAATCTGACAAGCAGCCATAAAAAAGTGGAAAATATTTGTCCTTTTTTGTATTTTGCTTATTGGCAGATTTTTATGTGATCCTAAATAAAAAACAGAACTATATCCTGTAAATTGTTTATTCCTTGTGGCTTTGTAAAGATTTAAATACGCTCTTTTATCAAATCATTTATTGTCTCTTATTAGTTGAAAATGACATGAACTGGCCCCTTTCCTGTTTCCTAAATGAGTCATCTGGAAATCAAAATGAGAGGCGAGGAATGAGTTTCTCTGAAACGAGTTTGGGGGAGAAACTGTGTGCCGGTGGGACGAGGTGACAAAACAGGGAAAAATGATGGTTAATTTTTTGACAAACTGAATCTGAGAATAAAATAAAAATAATAAAAATCACCAGAAAYGACCTGCTAGTTAATGCACAGCCTTGAATGAAATATATTTTGGTCTATTCTTTGGCATTAAAACAGCCCTGTTATGTTTTGTTGGCTAAAAGACTGATCCGGGTGCATATGCTGCTTCCTTCTCTGGATCGGAGCCTCCGCCCACTCAGCGCTCCACTGCCATGTGCCAGCATGTAAATAGTGCTGATCTTCTGAAGACACTCTGTCTTTGTTTGAAACGAACCAAATGTTGGCAGGCGTTAGGCAAACATGTCTTCAGCTGTATCAGTCCAATGAGATATTATCATAAGGGTCTGTGATTATATGCAGTTTGACAAAATACTAAAGTATAAATGATGCATCTCAGTAATCCAGGTCAATAAATAAAAAACAATAAGTAGGTCCTCTGGATGGGTTCTTCTTTACTGAAACGTTTCATCTTTTAAGTAAAACAACCTGCARAAGGTAAAGCTGATTGGAGTCCAGCTGCGTTGCTCCTCATGAACAAACACGCCCACCAAGTTTTAACCAATCACACGCTCCGAGCCGCAAAGTCCACATGGCATAGTTCTGACTGGGGGCGATGTACATGGCTGCCATCACCGAGGTCTAGCAGCGGGAGAGCAGACGAAAGTTGCGTAATTTTTTGTCACTCCGCAGGGGGAACAAGACGTGYGACTCGAAGTATAAACCAGCTTTAGGAGGAGGAAAACTGAACACGGAGGCCTCCACCTCTGTTTAACGATGGATGCTTTTTCTTTACAAAAATAGCTTCCTTAAATCCTCTCTCAAACCAACGTTCTTCTGAAGGAGTGACCGCTGGCCTGTAGATGAGTGTAAACTGCAGAGTCCTGGCCTGATGATGTAGATCTTCTGTGTTGGCCCATTCTTTTGAACAGTGGCTGCTTTGTTTCCCCGATGTATGACTGGTCACAGTCCTCCTGGCACTTAACAGCATACACAACATTACTCTGTTTGTCCACATACATGTCGACCCCTTCGGACCTGTATAATGAGCCTCAAAAATCTGTAAGTTTCGCAAAAATTCATATTAATCTCACAAAGGGGGGTGGGGCGGGGTGCAGGCGGACTGTCGGCTGCATCAAAATCAAAAGGAAATGAGGACGGAAGATCTTGTTTCTAGCAGCAGAGTGGGTTGGAAATGGATTATTGATGTTATTGTTGAAAAATCCGTAAAACAGGAAAAAAAATCTGTGAGATTGTTCTATACGTCCGTTTACCTACAAAATGACGGAAAATCCATGTAAATTACGGACAATCTGTACAACTTGACATGTATGGTGCCGTGGAACTGGATCTTTGGGGTGAACCAGTCTTTGCCGTAATGTGTTTTGGGGTTTGAAAGCCACTGGCAAACTACTTACCTGAAGCCATTTTACCTGAAACTCTTCAAACTCCTCAGACTGAAGAAGTCTTTTGGAGGAGAGACAACACAAAAAGAAGAACCCGTTCAGAGAACCTACTTAAGTTTTTTTTTTTGACTAAAGTGCAAAGAAAACAGCAACAGGACAATATGAGCTCTTTAAAGGTAGCAGACTCTTTGATAATGAGTTAAACCTGTTGGAAAGTGGCTGAGGTTTACTTTATTATACATTYATCTAAAGATTTGGTTAACCATTTTAATATATTTAAACAAACTTAAAACTCAATCAGTTTAGTATAAATGAAAACTAATTATTAGAGAAGAACCATCAATTAAATATTTATTTTATAAAATCTTAGTAGGCTGATTAAACCTTTGCTTCAGCTTTACCTCCAATAAAAGCCTCACCTGTCTGTAGGTCCTCTCAGCCACACACATCATGAAAAAGAAGAGCCCTGTGAGGCAGACTCTTTGAACTGTTGTGATGAGGAAAAAGGCATACGCTCGGGCGTCCGTCGGCCCCACCGCGATTTCAACCAGCTGCACGAGAGGCAGGGAGGTAAGGCTCGACATGTCCAAACGCYGAGCCAGGCGGAAGGCGAAGGGAAGCAGTGCCAGGGTGGCGGTCATGAGGCCACTGAAGACAAGGTACCCGATACCCTGCTCCACTAACTTCACCTGAAACAACACAGCGGAGAGACAGATCTAACGTCTTCTGAAACAGCTTTAGACACTCAAAAACACAGTAAAATAAAATATCTGGCCATTTCCAGCACGTGATTTTAATTCTCTGGCAAAGTCAACAAAGTCAGACCACTGAATTCCTACCCAACAGCATATAGAATGGTTTTTAAAAAGCTGTTCGGGACTAGTATTTCTATTCAGACTTTATAACAATATAAAGAYGTGAAGGTGTACCCGTGAGAGGATGATCCCGCTGATCTCCAGAACTGATACGTCTGCTTTCTTGCACTCTCCGTTCTCCCATATTATGGCACTAACACGGTCCTTGGAGGGGTGACATGCCTGGAGCCAGGTTAGCTGGCTCTGAAACGAAACACAACAGTGAGCAATGTGTGTGTAGCTGTAACGTGGAGTCCTGCACATCACGGCTCTTTTGCAGTCATTTTGGGGTTCTCTTCAACCGCGTCGGACTTTCATATCGAAGATTTTATTGATTATCTTGCAACCTATAAAAATCAGGGTTCCCACAGGTCCTTGAAATCCTTGAAAGTTTTTGAATTTGAAAAAAAATATATATTTTAAGGCCTTGGAAAGTTTGTGAAAACAGCCCAAAATTACACTTGTCCTTGAAAGTCCTTGAATGTGTTTTGGGGATTGAAGTTGTCTATTCACACGACTGATTTTCATTATCTGTAAAAAAAATAAAAAATTTATAAAAAAAACAAAATCTTACGTTTCTTGCGGTGGATAACTCAGGATTACGGTAAACTGATGTGGCTTTCAACAAATAACGTGAACCATAGTCATAAGTTTTACCCAATCAGTATCCAATTTACCCAAGTCATGTATTGTGGCTATGAACGCAGGCTATACATTTAAAGCACTTTCTTTCATTGATTCTGACTCAACAACATCTATGTAGTTCAGTTTTTTTTTTATTGAATTTACACATTAAACCTATCTATTGGTAACATTCTGCGGTAGCAGAATGGGGTTCTTGAATTTGAGGGAATTGTTACTGGAAAGTCCTTGAAAGGTCCTTGAAATTGACGTTGACCAAGGTGTGGGAACCCTGAAAAATATCTATCACATATTAAAGTTTAATGATATGATGCACCATCTAAACACGGAATTTAAAAAAAGAAAAATGTATATAGACTGAGCGATATTTACATTGCTCGCTCCTTGTGGCAGGCTTTCGTCGCCGCTGCTCAGAGTGTTCTGCTGGAGGTTCAGCCCAGCGCTGTACCTCCCGTTACTGTCGCTGTCGCTGCTCCCTGTGGAGGCGGAGTCGGGCTCCTGGAGGAGCTCCTCCCACATTGTGTCGTCCGTGTCCGAGGCAGGATGAGAGCCCGGCCTGAGACGGTCCACCTCGCGAGGCTTCCCTTTCCCAGGAGCCACGTTCTCCTCCTGCCCACAGAGTTTTGCATTTTATCATTAACCTTTCACTTCTTCCTTAATACTCATTAAAAACACAGACCCTTCACAAACAAGTGTTTATTTAAACATAATGTAAAGYTAAAATTACACTTTTAACTTCACAAGCAATAACTTAGAACGAGATAATAAGGTTTACCTGAGGTCTTGGGGTTGGTTTAGGGCTGGATTTTCTAATCCTCTTCCTAACAGAAGACGAAGCAGGCACTGACTCTGGACTAGCCAAGTGAACCTTGTGACGTTGCTTTGGYCGAATTACTTCTACTGATCGTTCATCCTCCTCTTCCTCACTGGAGAGCTCATCAGATGCCCCAAATCCAGAGTTAAGCTTACTCTGAAAGACAATAAGATTCCATAAAAATCCGTTTCAAAATATGAATTAAATTGACTGAAAACAAAAAAGACATGAAGATAAATCAACCTTACCCAGGTCCTGTTCTTAGCTGGTTCAAAACATATATTAAATATGTSATTTTATGATTTCAATTGCCACTTGGCTTCTTCTGGGTGCTTTAAAGTGTATACAGAGTTTAATTTAGTTATTACCACTTCCAGATAAACCCTACTCCATCAGAATTCAGACTCAATCGCCGCCTCTTTGTTTTCTCAACGTGTGTGGGTTGTTAAGACTGAGAGGAGAGGCTGCTGCAAAACCTAAAATAAAATCAAGATCTAACAGAATACATGACATTACCTTACATTTCTTGACCCAGTCTCTAAAACCTTTTATTAAAAGGTGACCCAACATGATGCCAAGAGATGAGTGAATGACTTTAGTTACATCTAATGACCTTCATAAGGAAATCCAACAAGACTATTTGTCAACTGATCCACYTGGATTTAAAACAATACAGTTAAAGCTAAGAATCATTTTAAATGAACACGTCTGCTCCTACACATTGAATATCCGTGTGTATTTTAGCTACAATAGTGTTATACGCCAACAGCGAGGTAAAATACATTTAAGAACAAAAACCGTCCTCCCCATAGACACATCACACGTAAAAAGTATTTTATAGGCCCTTTGAAAATTGCTTCTGCTGCCGAGAACGAGGCTTTTACTCTTCCATCCCCCACAGTTYAACGACACACATTTGTTGACTCCAAAGACTGACAGAGATGAGAGACCGTACCCTCCTCTCCTCGCTTCTGAATAATCTCTGGCTATCTTCAAACTGCCAGAGGCCCTGCAGCTCCGTGTTCCCGCTGTCACTCTTTTCTTCRGATTTTTTCAACCCTCTGCCCTTCCTCGGCCTGAAGAAGACAGAATAAAAAAATGATGCTACCTAAGCTTTTATTTATAATACATACATGGGAAATATTTACAGAATCCTGTTTTAATAATTTAAGTACTGGCTCAATCTCAGTTAAAGAACACCAAAATTACTATATACACAGGCAAATTCAAAAGTGTAAATTTAACACTATCAGAGTTAAAATTAACACTCGTACAGAGTTTATATGGGAACCACTACTTCAGTGTTAAATTAACACATTTAAAAGTGTTAAAATTATTAACACCAATTAAGAGTTAAAGCATTGTAAAAAAATAACTCTATAAGAGTAATAAAATGACAYTGAGTCAGTGTTAAACCTACATTTGTGGTGTAAAACAGTAACACCAGAACAGTTTTGAAAGTACACTAGTTTTAGGGGTGTAAGAAAATATCGATACACTRAAATATCGCGATATTTCATTTCCCGATACTGTATCGAYATTYTAAAGYCCTGTATTGATTTWTTATTAAGGTTTRAAACGTCAACTTTCCTGCCAGCCGTTCATTTTTWTATTGTAGTTCAGYCTCTGACCACTAGTTGGMAGCAGTGAGCCAGCCWTTTGGCTCCTCTACCTCTTGCRTGCCAAAGAGTAAGGGTAGCATTAGCATTGTGAGTAAACATTAGCTTCATGCACCGATAGCTGAAGCTGAGCAGAAAAGACCGACAATCTCTGCCTTCTAAGCTGAGGTAAGGTTACAAACAGTTACTTATTTGTCAGAATRTCTGTATTTTAAGYCAAATTAAGTGTCTCGTGCGATCTTTTTTCTAGGGCTGTTTATTGGCAATAATTTGCGATACGATACATATCATGACAGAGGGGTGACGATACGATATATCCCGATATATTGCGATACTATAAGCGAGGCGATATATTGCGATAC